AATCAAATAAATATGATCGTTTTGTAATGTTATTACAGCTTAGAAAATCGCTGCCTGAAAATGGTCATTAAATTTAAAAAAGATTATCAGATCTTGTTTAATTTTACCTTATTTATTTCAAAGCATCGCGTAATCTTATTTAATTTTACTTTATTTTTACGCAAAATTAAGTTCATAATTTTTGTGCTTAGAGTTTTTACCGTTTTAACCAATGTAAAGTAAAGATGTTCGTACAAGAATTACGCGTGGGAAAAAAAAAAAAAAAAAAAAGCGCGAAATGCAGTAAAAAGTGCTTTTAATGAGATATATTAAATCCTATTTGGAAAAAAAACTGTGACTTTCATAATCTCATCACTATACACCGTATCACATTTAATAATTAAAAGGAGTTATATGATACAAACGACATAGGTTTCAGTGTTAAAGTAAAAGGCCCGTTTCCACTACTGCGTATGCGTTGCGGTGCGTATGCGTTTCTCCAATCAGCGAGCGAATTCACTTTGATTGACATCTGCAATCCGGTCGGTGTGCGGTGACGGATGACATACGGATGGAGTTCAACAATGTTCAACTTCTATCCGTATGTCTGCGGTTGCGTTGGGGTCACGTGGTGAAAAAGGAGCAATCAGGAGGTGCAATGTGCAGTGACTAAAAATTAATGGCGGCAGAAGTAGCGATGAACGCTCGCTAATAGGGAAAGAAAGAATGTTTTGCTAAAAAAATACTTATTTCTGAATTAACATTATAGCGAGAAATCTGCGTGCTGAAAATGACAGCAATCAGCTGAATTTAGTTTAAAATGATAAGAAAAACAAGATAACTGCAAACTACAGTACTTGTTCATTCAAGAAAATCAGCGGCAAAAAAATTATCATTCCAAGTCCATGAAATAGCAAAATTTGTTCTGATAATCATTTTTTAGTTCTGCATACTCATTTAGCTTTAATGAAAATGAATGTCTGACTATATCAAACTGCTATAGCAAATTAGATATGATTAAAAGATTTGCTATTTTTTTTTTTGAAACAGGTAAAAAAAAACTAAAAACGTTAATTATAAATTAAATTTGATAGCCTTTTAAATACTCCAGTTCATTGAAGAGTATGTTAAATTTGTATTTCCCTTTATAAATATATCTTTTGGATAACATATATTTGTAAGCACATGAAATATATTTTTAGCAGGACCCGTTTAACTTCAATCGGAACGCCACTTTAAAAGATAATGATTTTTCCAAAAAATGTACTAGAAGCTGAAGAACAAACTCTGGTGAATTTTTCAGACAATAGCAAAGTGAAATAGGACCAAAAAACTTAAGTTTTAAGAATTGATTTACTTGATGGTGTATATAACCCAAAATATGCATGCGACTTACGTGTAATCCTAGTTTAGTGGTAAAGTTGATGGTACCGATGTCCACTTTTTGGAGTCGTGAGTTCGAATCCCATACGCTTTTTGCACCATGTCTGCAACTTTCTTACCTTTTTATTCCAATTTGATCTATATTCGTGTTTTATAATTTATTTCTATTATTATATGCATTAAATATATTGTTTTATTTATGCTCTTATTTATTTAAATTTTTCCCGCAAAAAAGTTTGAAAATTATATAATACTAATTTAAAGCATATCCTGTACATATATATTTGAATTTAACAAACATTCTCTATTCGTAAAAAGCAAATTTAAAGTTAATTAAATTTAAATGAAATTTAATGCAAACAAAGAAATGATTAATTATTGCTGTGCAAGTATCAAAATCCATGAATAAATATATAATTCCAAAAATTTATTAATCCTTAAAAAATTTATAAAAATGCATAAGTGAATAATGGGATAGCTTATTAATCCTAAAAAAATTATAAAAATGCATAAATAAATAATAGGATAGATTTAATCCTAAAAAACTTATAAAAATGCATAACCGAATAATAGGATAAATAAATTTTTGGAATTATATATTTATTCATGGATTTTGATACTTGCACTTGATTTACATATGCTCTCAGAATTTAAATGATATTGTATATTAGTTCGCAGCAATAATTAATCCTTTATTTGTTTGCATTAAATTTCATTTAAATTTAATTAACTTTTAATTTTTACGAATAGAAAATGTTTGTTAAATTCAAATTTCATTCCTTGCAGCAATGGCGCAAGAGAATTATTTAAATTTAATTTATTTTGAAACCCTGCAGATATATATATATATATATATTTTCGTTTCACTTTTATGTGAATGTATATACATGTGCTCAGACTTTGGGATGTTTACGACTCTAAACTTTCATTCCAATTAACATGAGACAGTATTAATGCCCTAAAAATTTTTTTAAAAACAAAAAAATTTTTTAACAAAAAATTACTATAATAATTGCTTTAAAATTCACTCCTCTCCTGCAGAAGCGCAGGAATTAATTAATTAAATATTTCCATTTTCTTTACCTAATGTGTGTATATATAAAGAGAAAAATCTATTTTTTTATAACTTCTTGTATAAAAAGAGATATGAATTAAAAATGTTTAAATTAAAAATAATATTTTATGGATTATGTATAAAATATAACTGCCCATAGTGCATTTTAAAACAAAACGAGATTTCTAATAAATTATCCAGCTATGACCCTGAAGTCAGCGGTATACAAGCATAGCAAATTTTGCTTAAATATTGTGAACCTTTCCTTACAGTTGCTCTGTACTTTTAAAGTACCAACTATTTTTTAATCCCTTTAACTTTTTTATTTTATGTTATTTATTTGTTTACTTTTTCACTAACAGTACATTTTAGTTTTAATAATATATATATTATTTCATAATATTTAAGGCTTCTAGAAACACAAATTTTTTTTTTTTTAATTTAGTTCAGCTTCTATGGAATTCGTGATGTTCATAATATGCATTATAACCTTACTTATCTAAAATTCCATATCAAATCCAAAACAAACAATACTCGCTTAAGCGGGAAAAATTCAGATGTTCAGCGTCGTAACTTGCGAACTGCTTGCGCCAAAATATTACAGTGACACCTAGCGGCGGAAAATGAAAATACTTTACGCATACGCAGCAGTGGAAACGCTTGTACGGATGCCGTAGGCGTGTCTTCAATTGACGCAACGCGTTCGTACGCAGTAGTGGAAACGAGCCTTAAGCCAGATCGTCCCTACTCTTTCTTGCCGACATGTCGGTGACGCACGCCCCGCCCACTGGGTTAGTCTATCTCTTATAAGGTCCATGCGCTGCGCAGGCATGCAAAATGGAATGATCTTGAAATGAATCAATGCAGAGAAGTTATTACGATTTTTAGAACACAGAGGAAGAATTAAAGGCTTAAAGGGTTACTTTAAATTATAATTTTGATATGTACATATTTTTTATCTTACATATACACCTATTTATATGCATTTACTATTTCTTACATTAATTTACCGTATTTTTGACCTTGCTGATGTTTACAGAAAGCTCAATTTCATTTAATTACTTAGCGTTACATTCCTAATCAGAGGTTTTTCGGTTTCAGACACATACACTTCATTATCCATGAAAGCGCTGCGATCGCAAACGATGGAGGCAGAATCTTAGTAGAGCTCCTGTCTTAGCAAAATTTAGCTTTTCAGCTAGACTTCAACTGCTATGTAACTGGACTCTCCCAATCTTTTTTTTTTTCCTCCATCATCACATCTATCCAGCTTTACCAAACACATTCACTATACACACCTGGGAGACACTATTTATTGTAAATGAACACAGCTTCCTCCCCTTTTGACTACACTCATGGATTCAATCGAATTTTAGGAAATTTTCTACTTCTCCTTTTCTTTCTGTAGGCTGTCCTTTTTTTTTTTCTATTACTTTTGGGCCATTTATTTCCCATCTTTCCTTCCTGGCGTCTTGAATACGTATAAAATGTACGAAGTTCCTCTCCTCTCCTCTCCGAAGTTTTACTCTCCTCTGAAACACAAAATTGCCCTTTTTTGTGTACCTTTCCTTCGCACCTAAGCTTGATTTTTCCCCATCGGTGCAGAAAAACTTAGCAAGTGCAAAACAAGACATCTGTCTACTTTGTCTGTTATTAGAAATTTCTCGGCGGCCAACCTCGCAGACAGCATCATTTCGCTTTTTTTTGGGGGGGGAAGGGGGTTCAGCTCTGACTTCGGAGTTTTGAGATCTTCATGCGAGCTGCGCTTTGCATTAAGCTGTGTTTAGTAGTTTGAAGTGTTAACTACTGAGCCCTGTGATGCCGATAAAAGCGGTACAATTGCTTTTGTTGAAAGTTCCAAAGCTCGAGCGTTTTTTGGGAACAATAAATTTTATCAAGCTATCATCGATTCTCTGTGCATTCACTCCATTACGAACCCTTATATATATATATATATATATATATATTGCGAATCCACATTTAATAAATGCCAATATCAATATCCATTTTCCCTAGCACTTCGGGAAGACTTCAACTGAATGCGATACACAGCTTGGTTACGACGTTAGGGAAAAGAAATATTTCCCATCAAGTTCTAATCTTAGCAGCGCACCAGGCCAGCCAATACGGGTTTTATCACTTGTTACACTTACTAAAGAAAGCTGGGGCAGTTTCCTTTAGAAAAGGTGTGCGCAAAGCTTTCACTTTTACAGCCCTATCTTCCAAAACTTGACTAAAGGTAGAATGAAAAGTAAAGCACAAAACAGTTTGGCTATTCCCAAGAATGGAAGAATAAGTAAGCATCTGAAAATCCTAACTAGTTTTGTATCCCAGCTGCTACTGCAGAAGACATGCAATTTTTATGACAATGATAACAGATTATGAAAAGTAATTTTATTGTTATTATTTTTTTTAATATTTTCCTTTGACACTTCTGCACATTGCAGACTTACAAAGAAAATTTTGTTTCCAGATTAGAATGAATTATTAATAAATGGTAAAGTTTGCATAGTAACAGCTGCACACCTTTACATTGCTATATTCAATTATTTCTCAATTTGAAAAAATAAAGTAACATACAGGGTTGTTCAAAAAATAAAATTTTTATTTCAATTACAATCATGACACTTTCATGATTCAGTTATGAATCAAAAAAAGTAAATCTCATAAAAGAAAACACATTTTATCAAGGAATAACATGTAAATTAAGGATTTGATGAAAATTTTTTCAAGGTGGACAGCTTAAACAAATTTTTACATTTAACTTTAAAAGAAAAAAAAAAGAAGAGGTTAAAACATATAATTTTATTTTATATTATTTTGATAAATCTAAACAGATTACAGTTAACACGTTGACTGTCGAGCGCATATTACCTGGTTTACCATGAACAAGAATTTTTTTATTATGCGATGTATATTATATTGAAGTATTATCTACAGAAGATAAGGTGAGTTATATAATCGTGTTTAATACATTTTTCGTGTTAGGGGTCCCCCGTGATTTCCGTGGCTCTGTAGACCATTTTTTGCTATTTATTATTGTTCAAACCATTGTAGTAACAATGGTATTTAAAAATTTATCAGTATCGATATTTCCTTTAAGTATTTTTACTATTGGTCGCGTTGCCGGTGACCCCCATGGCGCTGTAGTCAAGTCGAGTGCCAGCCACCGGTGACCTCCACGACAGTCAATGTGTTGATATAACAGCAAGACATTAAAACTCGCATGTCTCATCCCAAGGTTTAAATATACGGGGCAATCAAAAAATTTCGTTTAGGGGCATCGCTGCAGTGTACGTGCAAAGTAGCACAGCGCCAATGCAGATGTTATTACTATGGTATTTCTCTATTTCAAAGGGTGTGTGGAGATGCTCGAATGTTAACAGTGGCAATGTTATTACCATATATGTTCAAACAGAACCAACATGCTGCTATTCTTTTTTGGCTGCCGAAAGCCAAAAATCGGTACACATTTCTCAGAGAAAGAAGCATACCTGTCAAAACCACCGTTGTGGAATAGTGCTCTATGTTCAGTGATGATTCGGAATTCATCTTACGATGCAATTCGATCTGGGAGGCCCTCCACATCCATTACAGACAAAAACAAGTGGGTGGTTGATGTAGGGCGGAACGCTGCATATCGCTTTGTGCATCTCAAAGGATCCCGACATAAGCATTACTGGGCAGGAGTTAGGCTACCGTTAGATCTGCAGCCAGTGGATACCCTGAGCGTTGGATTCCGAACAAATATCTAACCGGATGGCTGTTTGCCTGGAGCATCTCATGTGTTTCAATGTTGGTGGCAACTTTCCTTGAGCACACTGTTGCAGGCAGTGAAAGCTGGTGCAACCATCGGGCACCTGAGTCGAAAGTGTCGACTATGCAGTGGTGTCATCCTTCGTCCCAAGAAGTTCAAGAGCCAATCATGTGAGGAAAACGTGATGTTTATCCTGTTATTTGGTTTCCATTACCCACTGATTTCAAGGATCCAGATGTCACCATCACTGGGGAACGGTACTGCGAAATGTCCGGGGAAAATGCGGAATGGGATCATAATACACAGCCCCATATCGAAATCTCGTAATGTCAAAGTTATACACACTAAAGTGGGAGACACTCGAGCCCCTGCCTCACAGTCGTGATTTCTGCCCATGCGATTATCATGCCTTTTTTAAGGCACCACCCTTAAAAAAGTCCTTGAACGGTTCCAGTCGAATGGAAATGTACAGCAAGCAATTTTGGAGTTCAAGCAGCAGAAAAAGGAGTTTTACTTAACCGTTATATTTAATCTGGTAAAGCAATGGGATGATTGCCTATGTGTTTCAGGCAATTTTACATAGTTGGCATACCAAATCGGAACTTTACCACCTTCGAATGGAAACTTTTTGATCGCCCCTTATATAAAGCAACAAAATACATCGAAAGGGCCTCTATTCATTAAGTAATTTTAAATAATTTATATGCAGTGTGACAAATGCAAAAGCAGCTGATCAAATGATACATTCATCTGTTAAAAATCTTTTAAAACCTCTACAAGTACTTTTACTCGTCCCCCAGAAAAACATAAATTGAGCAAGGCATATCTCAGATAACAGAAATAAGTTGCATGAAATTTAAATGGGAAAGAAAAAGTTCTTACTGAAATGAATAACCATTTTTCATATCTACTTTATATTTTTTAATTTTCTGTATTTAATTTAAATGCATTTAACACACTTCCAGCAGCTGTTCTATGAGGAAAAAATGTTTTAATTATTACCAAAATCAAAGAGGAGGCTATATCTTAGATGGCATTTTAAAGTTAATGCTTCATACCAAGCATGTTGTTCATCTGATGACAAATCATTCTCTCATTGCTCTTGGCCAGCTAATTATATCAAGCAGATGTTTCTAAAATTTGCTGCATTTATAAGAAATCTCATTCAGCAGGAAGAAAGAGGTTATCTACATAACTACAGCCAATATTAAAAACATTTTCCTTCCTCTATATTATCTACTAACTAGCTCCTAATGGTTATTATGTATGTGTGTGTAGGTATGAATAAAATTATATTTCAGATAAGACTCAAATCAGGCTCACAAATGAATGTAGTATAAGAATTTTATAAGGGATAAAATAGATCATAAACAAAGAGGAAAGGGAATATTTTCACCTAGTTATCTTAGTCTAATCAAGGGCCCTAAGGCTTTTGTAGTTTGAGACCACTCCCTACATATAATCTCCAAAAATAATATGCACCTCTATACTTATGAGAACCTGGATAATACCTGTATCTTTAGATGGCAATATAAAAATTAATATTAATTACATGCCTTTCCTTAATTTGTCTGCATAATTAACATATGGATAAGCTGTGCTAAATATTTACTTTTTCCTACCATAAATCATACTACTAATATAACAATGAAAATTTATAACCAAATTTAAGCAAAGAATATTACATGAAAATATACCACTTTTAAATTCACTTCAGTGTAGCAAGTTAAATTATTACAAGATTCTTGCCTCTTGGCAAAGCAAACAAAATAAAATTTTATAATCAATTATCACATATTGTCCTTCATTATTTCTGTCATATGCTGATAAAATGCTTTGCTAATTATGTTACCATTACATAGCTCATCTTACTGTATACAGAATAATGTACCTTTCTGCAACTTTTTTGGCATAAGAGGGAACAGAAATGAATCAGATATACATAAATGCTATATCCTAAAAACATCACAGCACGTGAGAATGAACAAACCTAGTAACATACAAATTCATAAAAAAGAATTTCATTGCAAAAAGTTCTAAACTCATTAATTATACATTTGAACAAAAACAAATGGGTTAAATTTGTTGAAAATTCCCAATAAATATAGCAAGCATACTTATTTATTCTCCCTCCCCTCCACCACTTGCTATTAGTTAATCTGCCCTTGCTGCACACAATTTCATATCCTAATAATTTATTTGTCTACACTCCATAAAACAAAAATGCAAGAACTCATAAAATTATTATTTAGAAAAGGAATGTCATTTTATTAAGACCACATTCCTATATATTCAATTCAAAAGAAAGAATGTTCATTAAACTTAATATTTAATTCAACCTTCATACTTTATTAATTTTCATGTCTTAAATGTGATGGTGAATTTTTCTTTGTCTTTCTCCTTTACATATAACACAGAACTTATCAAACTAGATTACTTTGATCTTTTTATGCATTACAAAAAATTATTTTAGGGAGCAAGGATAAATTTTTCAAATTTTATTCAGTTTTTACTCTACAACAAAACTCAGATAAGCCAAAAATTTCCACAAGTTCACCTGAATGTCAAAATTCAAATGTATATTAACTTTCTTTGATCAAAGCTGAAATGCTGATAACTTGAATTCTCCCTTCATTTCAGTTTTAGCTTATCAAAATGTACATGCGTGTTATTTATAAATTTTAGTATATGCTACATTTATGCTCATTAAATGCATTTGTATAATAAATTATGCTAATTTGTAAATGTCAGAGAACAAATTTTAAACATGTATTCACAAATACACTGTAAAATTTTATGACCATATGAAAAGAACTGCTCAATCAATAAAAAGAAAACCAAACACAACTGAAACAATGCACAGTCAAAACCAGAGTATGACTTCTTATGATAGAATGAATTTCCCAGACTTAATTATAAAAAATAAACCATGACCCACAATCCCAGTTTTCATGCATGGTGGCTCTTCATCCTTTTCCGTCTATAAAATAATTATTATTTAAATTAATATATAACAGCTACATTTGCAACTCTAAGCGAGCTTAAACAAACCAGAAAATGATACTAAAAAATCTATAACATGTAAATAAAAAATTATTCAAATAAACTTGTTTAACAAAAACACAAATATTTTGCGTTAGATACAAAATCTAGGATATTACATCAGCATATGTATCTTCTTTTTTAAGTTACAAACCATGTGAATGATTCACTGTTATTTACATCTCATTATTCCAATTATAAATAATCTGAAAATCACAGGCTATAAATTATGATACAAAACAGATCCAATACCAAGACTGATAAATTTCACACATATATATTTGTTCAATACATATAATATTTTTTTAAATCATACTTCACAATTATGTAACACAAACACATTTAAAACACAAAGGAAGCTTTGAACAAACAAAAGACAAGAAAAACTAATTTTGACAGCCTATAGTTGTTGGACAAAAGCTTAATATGAAATTTCCCTTTCTCAGAATATTCATGCATTCTTACATACACTTTATATATTAACACTTTATATATTAATTTATATTTTTAATAACAGAATACATATTTCTTACCAAAAGAGAAATCAGTAGATGAATGAACAATAATGCAGATAAACAAGAAGTTAATAAATTATCTGACTGAATGTGACTTTCAACATATCACACTACACTAACCATAGCGAGAGATGAATAACTATACTAGAAAATAAAATAAATGTATATGCTCTTTAGCTCTCAAATGAAAAGTAATATCTACAAAAGGAACAATGCTATAAAAGAGGAGGGGAAATAAAATTACCAATTAAAAAATTATAAATTATCCCTTCAGCACAAATAAAAACAAAGCAGAAAAGACACACAATCCTGTTATGAAGATGAAAAGTAACACACACAAAAATAACTTTCTTCTAAAATATTTTCTACATTAGAATATCAACAGGAATAAATTACATGCATGATCTTCAAAATGAAATTTAAAACATCAACAACTGTATCTTTTAACAAATCTTCAAACTAATAAAATAACTAAATAAATGCAATTTTATACACAAATAACATAAGAATTCTTTTTGCTTCATTTATTTGAAATGTTTGATTTCATACTTTCTTAAATAAAGGCTACACTTAAGCATTTCTGAAAATATTGATTTAGATTCATACACGAGATTATAGGAACTTTTCGAGGGTAGTCTATATTTTGGGGTACCACTTGGATTATCGCCAAGCTGTTATTTCACTTATGGCAACCTGGGTACTTTTCGGAAAACCTACTACGATGTGATTGGTTGTAATGTGTGATTTTGATTGTTGAGAGAATATTTCTCATGGCTTATTTCTGCATGGATGTTAGTTACGAAGTTCGTTGCTTACTTTGTGCTTTACATTGTAAACTGAATGCCGGTGGCAAGATTAACCCTCCGAGGGCCATGGTCGGCTACCCAGTCATGAGATTTTTTTTGTCTCTTGGTATATATTAACTTATAAATTACGATATTTTGCTTTCTTACATTCTTTAATAATATAAATGTCATCTTAATAAATGAAAGCTTATGAAAACAGAGCCTGAAGTAATTAAATATACAAATTTAGCTAATAAAGGCTCTTAAACGCAGGTCTTCATGACAGATTCAAAAACAGAGTTCGTAGCCACATTTTAGTTAAAAAAATAAGCACCTATAAGCACTTTTCAAGCGCATTTTAAGGGGAAAAAAAAAAAAAAAAAAAAAAAGCACCTGCCTAATTACATTCTGAAGCTTTGGCTATTTTCACTAAGTTGTTACAATAACATGTAAGTACTGAAATGTCTTCATAGGCCACATAAAATTGGTTTGGGGGCTGCATGTGGCCAGTTTGAGACCACTAGGATAGCTGACAATCTTGAGGTTGCATTATGTTGCTTAGAAATGAGATACTTATTTTAATTCTAAAATAAAAAATACAACATTTATTTATTCGAGACCAAATTATTCAAAAACCTATGTTGAATGACCATATATTTTGATTAATTACTTAATCTTACTTTGAAAAGACATGTTTGGCCTTAAAAAAATTCAGGTATTCAGTTTCTTTGTACTTTTTATAAAAATAACAGTGATAAAAAAAAAAAAAAAAAAAAAAAAAAAAAAAAACTTTCACATCAGAATAAAACAGATAACAATAACAAAAATTTTCTAAATGTTTTAAGAATTATTTCATAAACATGTTTTCTTAAGAATGATTATTTCCGTCTTTTAAGACAGATTTATTACTCACATTATTTTAATGGTCATGTTCTCATGCTCAAATATAAAACAGCTTATTTATCATCTTGGTTGGAAGCAATATACATAAATGAGTAAATTATTCAATCTTTTAAAAACAGATAATATATACATGCAAGATATTTTTACAAAAAGCTGTAACAGGGTTAAATTTAAGAAAAGAAGCTTGTAATGTTATCACTATTGGAACGTCTAATTCAAACAGAAAATACCAAATCACAAATTTAAGTAAAATGACAATGCATAACTCAGATCTTCGTCATAATTTGGAACAGAAGACATCAAAATAAAGAAAATCCTGTGGCATAATTGCATTGGATAGGAGGCTAAATAACAGATTTTGAATGCCTTACTATTATTAAGTAATAAAAGAAAACTGAGAAGTATCATAAAGTATAAATTCATTAATTAGCAAAGCATTCCACATAATGCATAAATTGCTCATCTTTAGTAATACACAAATCAAAATAATATGACGACCATATAATAATACAGAATATAATTTTTAAGTCTGAATTACAAATTCAGTATGAGCACTGTTTTGATTTATTAGAAGCACAGCTTCTTCATACGAAGGAGGGGGATTTTCAACATTTAACGAACTACTGTCTACATTCATATTAATATCATGTTCTGCAATCAAATGTGAAGTCTGCTGTGTTCCACCAATCACAGTTTCGTAAGATGGAGGTCTAGTCAGATTACTACAGCTCCTGAAAAAATGCTGATCATTAATTCATGTACTTACCATATATACAAACTTTTTACAAAAAACATTAAATGCAATAGATGTTTCCACAAGGGGAAAAAAAAGTCTGTAGCATCTAAGGATGTCTTAACTACATACTGCTTACTTCTACTCATTGTTCAGCCTTAACAGTTACCTGTGCATATCAGCGAGTTACTGCCTTTTTAGACTGGCTGTACATAAAATATACTGCACAAAACGCAAAAGTTAAATTTCCCTACTGCTGGTAAGTTAACTAAAATAATACAACAAAAAATTTAATTTTCCTGGATCATAGCTGCTGGATGGAACTTTATAATATGGTAAATGTCGACAACACAAACTGGGTTGGATATTCAAATCTCAATTAACATACAATATTTACTATCTGTGGCGAATCTCGCTTTTCATGTCTATTCCTGAATCAGCGACAAAAAAAGCTAATGCCGGTTATCTCAAATTAAACTACGCCAGTTGCCCTGAAATCTACATAATCTTCTGGACTAAGCGCTGATGAAATGGGGCACAAAAGGAAAGCATAATCTTTAATTATTAATAAAATTTAACGAAATGTTACAAGTTAGCATGCAGATTATTTATTCAGATAAGCATGTGTTCTCACATTTATTCTCAATAAAATTATAGCATATGAAACATACAAGGTTCAGCTATTAATTTCCAGGACTGACGTAACTGTAGGAGAACAAAAAGTCGGAAGATGGCGCTAATGACTGAATATTGAAGAGCATTTTCTTGCACATGTGCAGTGCATCGGCGCCATTCTGAAGTAAGTGGTTCTCGTGGAAAGGCGCACTAAAATGTAGCTCTTAAATTTTTATTGTTGAAGCGAAAATGGATCAAAGAATTAACATTACATTTTGCTTCAAATTGGGCAAGACAGCTGCACTCCGAAATGTTAAAATGTTAAAACCAGTTTATGGCGAAGGAAGCATTATCTTGCTCACTCAGAACTTTTGAATGATTTAAACGCTTTCGGGGACGAGTGCAAAAGCGTCGAAGATGATCCACACACAGGTCAGGCCGCAGTCCTGTATGCACGGCGGAAGCAATTGAAAAAGTTCGCAATTTGGTGAAATGTGATCATCGATTGACTATTCCAGTACTCGCCAATGAATTCAACATGGACAAAGAGACAGGTTTCAGGCGAATTTTGATGCAAAGATCTAGGCAAATGCAAGATTTGTTCCAGATTTGTTCCTCGCCATTTAAGGGATGAATAAAAGCAATTGAGACCAAATGGACGCATGTAGGCGTAACAAATCGAACAACGCTGATGATGCTGACCCTGTGTTCCTGGATAGGGTACTCATGGAAGACGAGTCTTGGTGTTATCAATATGACCCTGAAACCAAGCGTCAAGGCTCCGAATGGCAGTCTCCAAGTTCACCAAGGCAGAAAAAATTTCGATTTGAGGTCCAAAATCAAGGTCATGTTAATTGCTTTCTTCGATTGCGATAGACTCATTTATCATGAATTTCTTCCTCCTAACATGACTATCAATGGACAGTTCTACACAGAAGTTCTTGACCGACTTCGAAAACGAATTCGTAGAGTGAGGCCTCATTTTCAACAAAATAGAAGTTGGCTGCTGCTACAATGACAATGCCCCGCCCACACATTGCGTTGCCTGTGAGGCGATTCTTAGCCCAGCATGGTATCGTTGAAATGCAGCATTCACCATATTCTCCAGACCTAGCACCCGCAGATTTTTACTGTTTCCTAAGCTGAAAAATTCACTGAAGGGAACAAGATTTCAGGATGTCGAAGACATCAAGAAAACTGTAACGTCACTATTAAAGAGCATTCCAAAAGAGGACTTTAAAACTTCTTTCCGAAATTTGTACAGCCAAGCACAGACGTGCATTACGGCTGATGTGGATTACTTTGAATCATATTAAATAGCTATGTGTGTAACCTTTTTTCTTCCGAGTTATTCCATAAGTCGTGGAAATTAATAGCTGGACCTTGTAATTCTTACCTTGTAAATCCTATTTCTAGAGACGGGTAATGGAATTCCTGCAAGAAATGAAAAATTTAAAAAAATAGCCTTATAAATAAAGTATTTTACTTAGTACATACTTTAATTACTAAAATTAATTTTTTATAAAGAGCAAAATAAATATACATAATCAGTATTAATAATAATGTAATACTACACTGAACAGTAAAAGCTCGACTATCTAGCATTCAATTACCAGAAAACCAGAAAACTCAATTAACTGGAATAGTAACCAGAAAACTCAATTAACTGGAATAGTTCTCAAATAAAATTCAGTTACTGAGATATTTTTAATGTCATTCTAAAGCTCATTATACTATTAGCACATATGCATTATAGCAAACAATGTGATTTAGCACCAATAATGGATAAGCATCACATTACAACCCAATCATGTCGCCTTGGTTTTATATAAACCCGATTAATTCTCAACAAGCCGGTTAAATTTTTGCAAAGAAGGATACAAGACTCGTTTCTCCCCCTCACATTTAGGGGAAAAAGATTAATATTTTGGATATCCCTTCTATAGGATGCAATAGAGCAACAGCATGCAACAGAGTATTTTTGAAATCGCAGGAACCCTAGCATCAAAAAGGGGATGATATGTGACTTTATTTGAAAATGGATATACAATGGCAATTTAGCAAGAGAAATTAAGATAAGCAATTTAAGTTTCTTTATACACTCTTTTGCAAAAAAATCGAAGCACTCCATAAAGGAAGTGGTTGTTTTTGACGAAATTGAACACGTGTATAGCTCATACACAAATAATAAAATGATTAAAAAATCAAGGTCACAGTACCTGTTCACAGCTCACAATCACCCATTGAGTGTTCAATTTAGTAGTTGGTCAAACCGTCCCTGGTGGCAATGCATGCTTGAATTCGTCGAGGCAAGGAGTGGTAGAGGTTCCTAATGTCATCCTGTGACACATTCTGCCAGGCATTCATCAGTTGTCGCTCCAGATCTGCGATATTTTGTGGTGCCTGAATCTGGCAGCCTACCATGTCCCAGACATTCTTGATTGGCGAAAGGTTTAGAGACCTTGCTGGCCAAGGAAGAGTATCAACCGCACGGAGGCAGTCCAGAGATATGCGAGCAGTATGTCGGCGGGCATTATCTTGTTGGAAAATGGCCCCGGGATGACGTGCCATGAAAGGTAATGCAACCGTCCGCAAGATGATACTAATATATAAGCTGAGCTGTTAAAGATGTATGGAGGATGAGTAAAGACGACCTGCTGTCATAAGAAACAGCACCCCACACCATCACACAAGGAGTTATGGCTGTATGCCTTTGTAAAACAATGGCTGATTGGGACCGCTTGCCCCGTCCTCTCTAGACACGAACACGGTGGTCATCTGCTTCAAGAGTGAAGCGGGACTCATTGCTAAACACTGTACGATGCCAGTCTGATGGCAGCTATGATGATCGGCTGCTACACTAGTCCAGACGACTCCGCCAATGTTGTGGGGTCAAACGTCTTAAAGACTTCTGTGAGCATAACCCCGCCTCAGACAAGAGCCGTGAGATGGTGGACGGTACCACGGGAGATATAGACATGGCTGTAGTGTGTTGAATAGTCAACAATGATACAGTTGGGGTGGTTCGGACCTGACAAACAATCATCTTATCTTGCCTCGCATTTACTCTCCTTGGCCTTCCAGAGCCTTCATTTCCTCGGCAATTTCCTTACAGCAAATATCTTTGCACAGCAGTGTCTGCACGCTGCAGATGACGGCCTACTGCTCAGTATGACCATCCATCTTCCTGCAACCCTATAATGCGACTACGTTCGAAGTCATTTAGTTGTCTGTAAGGTCTTCGATATCATCATAATGGCATCTTTAGTTGCTTCTTTACATAATTACAATGGCAGCAACAAAAAAGATAAATTTTTCGCCTCTGTTACTGGTTTTATACTTTGTGAACTGTGCACTAGAAATAAGCGCTATGATCACAATTCCCGTTCATTTGCCTTGAATCTTTGATCATTTGCATGTTCGATCAAGATGTTTTTGTATAAATTTCATCACGATTGTAAAACGTCATTCTTTGTACTTCAGTTTTTTTTGCAAAAGAGTGTATTATATATATGTAACTGTAAATTATCTAACTAAATAAAGAACAATTTATTCCTTTAAACTTTAGCTGGAATGATAGGCACAAGTTTGGCCATTAACCAGTTCAGGACCAGAGTCGCGTATACGCGACACAACGATTCCACTCCTACCAGCCCACAACCTGTATATGCGATGCAACGATTCTGCTTCTACGAGCCCAAAGTCCCGTATACATGTCATTAAAACGGAACGATTTATTTGAATTTTTAAAAGCCCAGTAAATGGAGCTAAGTGGTCATTGTTTTCACATGGGTTGATTCATATGGCATTTGACCTTCATGTACTGGCATTAGTTTTTGTTTTGTGCTTCTGGTATTGAGAGATTTATTGAAATAAACAAACTGGAAATCATGACTCTTTATAAGTACGCCTGTGAAATAAAGGGGCACAGGCGTTTTTGTTTATTTCGTTAGGATTTTCTTTTTGTTGTTGTTTTTCTATTTATTTTGAAACTTAAGCTTTCTTGTTTAATTAAAAAGTAACATTACAACATTATTACAAAAGAGGAAAGATTATCAGCTGTCTCGACGCATAATGCGTCTTGCTCACATTTCTCAGGAAAGAGCCAGCGTTTTTGTTTTTCTTATTCGATTTAATAGGTCATTATATATAATGCCAAACCTCATTGATGCCAATACAGTTGCCAGCCAAAGACTAATTGGTCAAGTTAAAGGAAACTCCATCGCGGAATTGAACTTGTGACAGAGCCATATCGACTATCATAACCAGACTTAGGACAAATCACTTAAAAGGGATGAGGATTTCTGCAGACGGACAGCGTAGTTACACTAACATTTGTCCTCAATTGCCCAGATGACATCCCATTGTCTCGCCATCACATCTTCAGCTGCCCAGCAATCCAGGCCAGACTGTTTAACATCGGCATTGAAGACCCAGTGGACCTACTTTATACTGATAGAGCTGCCGAGGTTTCAAAAGCTGTCTTTGACAGCTTCGAAGCTATATAATTGCACTTTGTCATAGACACGACATCATCATCATCATATAATGCCTTGAATGCTCATTATGTATAATGACACAGGCATTATATTTTGTTATATAATGTATTTTACATGTAATGAAATTATATATAATGTATATATTGACGTGATCAGTAACGGATATCGCGCCAGTGTGGGGGGGGGTCTTTCATTGATCACTTTCGGTCATCATGGACGCTGTTTTCGATTTAGAATAACAGGAAGTTTTCTAATATAAACCTGTTGTCACACAGGTTTTCAAGATGAAATGTTTCTGAGCGTCTCTTGAAGAAGTTTTGGGACATGTGTTGGGGTTATATTCAGTTTCATTCCTTTAGCCATGGCTAAGAGACCTTACTTAAAAACTTAAAAATTTGTCCAAAATCACCAGACACTATACCTTTCCGTCCAACTGGAAGACAGTTTCCGAAAATTTACGTTGACGGAAAAGTAATAAAAGTAGGAGAAGACGCGTTGTGTGCGCTAAAACCAAGGAAAAGCCGAAAGCAAAAAACGTATTTTGAGTGCGAAATATGCAATGTAGGACTGCGTGTCGATCCTTGTTTTGAGTTATTTAACACACAGCAGAATTTTTAAATTGGAATTTAATTACCTACAGGTAATTCTTACTTATTTCTGCATGTATAGTTATGATTTTAGTATTTTGCCAGTTTAATTTAATTATATTAATGTGATATTTTTTATATTAATACACATTAAAAACAAGTACATTAAATACGCAACTTCAAAAATTTAAGTCATAATATCAAGATGCTGATTTTATACGATTTTTTTTTTTTTTTTTTGTAAAATTAGGCTTAACTGCTGAAAATGCGCAGGCCGGTGGCTACTATCCATTTCAGCAGGTCCGGTCCCGTGACTGCGCTTCGTTCTCCCGCCGCTGGTCCTTACGGGGTTAATGTTCAAAGCATCTTAATTGCTTCCCCCTCCCCATGTAAGCAGATTTTTCCATTAAATTTCTCTGAGCTCTGCTTTTCACCCACCCAAGACCAACGTCGCATAGTCGTGACGCAACAATTCCACTCTTAGCAACCCAATGTCGCATCTGCGTAACTTGAAAACAAAATGATATTTTTAAATTTTTAAATGCCAGTAGATGGAGATAAAAAGTAACGGTTTTCACTTGGGTTAAGTCATGTGGTTTTTGAGCTTCATGTATAAGCATCAGTTTCTGGGTAAAAATATATTTACGGATACCCTCTGGCGAAAATTGGCAATTTTTGTTGGTACATGGATCATGGATACCGAGTTCGTGCAATTCTTTGACTTGTTATTTTGGCTTGTGTAGTGGCGATTTTTGCGCCAAAATAACAAGACAAAGAATTGTCCAAACTCGGTATCCATGTACACATCGACTTATTTTCACTTAAAAAAATATCACAGAATTACACAAACTTGGCATTACGCACTTTCTTGACTTCATCCATGTACACATCGACATATTTTTACTTAAAAAACATCAGAGAATTGCACAAACTAGGCACTGTGTTCTCCCTTGACTTTGTCCATGCACATATAGAACTATATTCACTTAAAAAGTCAAAGGAGCAGCCAACAAAAAAATATATAATCTCAATAAACTATACTTTAAATCAAGCAATGAAATAACATAAAAAAGAAATTCATCTTTGCACTACACAAAGAAAATATCCACTTATCTTATTTACGAATTAATAGTCAAACAAAGTTCAGGCCCACCAGCGGCCGAGCAGTAAAGTCGCTGAACACTGGTAGTTTGGTCCGAGGTTCGAATCCCGCAAACGGGCTGGCTGCATGGGCGTTTTCGTGGTTTTACCCATGTGTAACGTGTATACGAGCCAGTTTCCCTCAGAAAGTCCTCCACGAAGGCATCCCTCCCCTTAGGCAGATAGCCCTCGAGGCTTTGCCATAATCACACACACACAAACAAAATTCCTTAACAGCATCCAAAAACTTCCTAAAATTATCTGAACTAGAATCTGTATGCTGGTGTCACCACATTAAATCGCACCAATTCACAAAATAAGAGTAAAAAATATGCTCCGTAACGCTGTATCGTTCAATCATATGCATTTCCTTCCTACAAACAGGATACTTAATAATGGCTATTAAGTAAACCTTCATTTACACACCAGTCAAGTAATGCTCTTTTCCCCTTTCTTTCCAAATGGTACAGAAATTGGCTAATCTTTGGAATATGGTAACAGGTAGTTTGGCGACATTTTGGTAAGGCGATAAAAGTTACTAGCTAGGACTTTAGCAGTGTACATGGATAAAGTCAAGAGTGTGCGCAATGCCATTTTTGTGCAATTTTGGGATTACGATTCTGCACTTTCTCCCAATTTTGCACCGAATCTTCGTCATGATTAAGCACTTTTATTCCATAAAAGTTCTAGCATAAGTGTAATTCGGCTAGCAGATTGTTGGAAAAAAATGTTGAGTTAAAAAAAAAAACCATGCCTTTACTTCGTGAAAACAAAATGATGTCCAAACAAAAACTAGCAGATTGCTGTAGCAGGGTTGGTCGCCAAATTTTTGCCAAAAAATCGCTAAGTTACCATAATCCAAAGATTAACCCAGAAACTTCAAATTAATGTTCCCACATTCAGCCATTTTACCGTCTAAACCAGAAAATAAGCAATGTATTTCCTAACCAACACACACGACAATCTTTTACAAATTCACCGCAATCATGCGACCAATTATGTCAAACTAGGGTTTCCATAACATTCAACTACTCAGGCTACCATAAATAAACCACCACTTGGTGATAAATGAAACGACAACTTTGTGATAATACAGGGGGTACACTTCTCTCTACACTAACCAGTTTCTGTTCTGTGCTTCTGGTGTTGAGAGATTGACTGGTGTAAACAAACAGGGAATCACAGCTCTTAAGTTAAAGAGACATTGGCGCGTTTGTTTATTTCGTTAGGAATTTCGTTTTTTGTTGTCTCCATTTTTATTCTTCAGGTTTTTCGGTATTAGAATGTGAGGAAGTACATCCAACTCAATACTTTCATTTACGTTGGTTTTTTTTTTTTTTTTTTTTTTTTTTTTTTAAATTAGGATAATGCGTGAAAACACATTTAGCTGACTACAGTGGGTGTAACATTGGCGAACTTCCGTGATGGAAAAACTCAGTTGTCCTTTTTAAAATTTATTTTAAAACTTAACATAGACTTAACTAACTTAACTTTCATAGTTAATTAAAATATAACTTTACAGCATTATTACAGAAGGGGAAAGACATCAGCTTTCCCGATGTGTGAAGCATCTCACATATTCAGCAAAAAAAGCCATCATTGCTCTATGTCAATCCTCGTTTTGAATTATTCCACACACAGCAGAATTATTAAATTGAATCTAATTACCCACAGAGAATTATTGCTTAATTTTCTTTTACATTTCATATTTGTAATTTTGTTTTCATGAGTATAGTTATAATTTTAAGTACTTTGCACATTTCATTTATTTTTATTAAAGTGATATTCTTTATATTAGTACATATTAAGTGTGTGTGTAATGCGTGTGTGTGTGTGATTACGGCAAAGCCTCGAGGGCTATCTGCCTAAGGGGAGGGATGCCTTCGTGGAGGACTTTCTAAGGGAAACTGGCTCGCATACACATTAACATGGGGAAAACCACGAAAACGCCCATGCAGCCAGCCCGTTTGCGGGATTTGAACCTTGGACCGAACTACCAGTGTTCAGCGGCCTTACCGCTCGGCCGCTGGTGGGCAGTACATATTAAGAATTATTAAGAATTAGTATATTAACGTAACTTCAAAAAACTACGTATCTTCAAAAATTGAGGTCATTATATTAAAATGCTGATTTTATATAAATTTTGTTTCTAAAAGTAGGCTTAACTGCTGAAAATGCATGGGTTGGTGGCAACGTTCCATTTCAGAGGTTCGGTCCCGTGGCTGTGCTTCATTCTCCGTGTGCTGGTCCTCAAGAGGTTAACAATCTCCCTGTTCTCAAGAGTGACATTCTATACCAACTCTCATACTCAGAAACTTTTAGTTTATGTTACAATGGCTTTCAAGAGTAAGAGTGGTGATGCTATCAAAGCTTCTAAACTTAAAAGAAGTTTTTTCCCCTCTGACGGTGGGCCCTCAGCCGACTTCGAAATGGTGGTCACTTTATTTTTAAGTCCTATTGGTGGGCCACTTTTGCCTCCTATGAAGGGACAAACAGCTATAGCCATGCCTCCTTCCGGGATTCGAACCTGGGCCCTCCAGTACTGCAATCGGCTCCTCTAACCACTATTACTATCCCCAGAACAACTGAAGATTTTGCGCTCCTTTCTGTGTGCCAAGGATGGAAACATTTCATTCTAAAATGCTGTAAAATCAACTTGGCTCCTCCTGGATGTGGTACCCGGGTACAGATGGCCTCACTTGCCCCACCCAAGCTACGCCACTGATCCAGTTAAAACACATGGTTACATCTTGATATTTTAAATGATTATGCCATAGCTGCCAACCATGAAACATAGAAAGTTGGGTGGAATTTGCACCACTTATTAATGCAACTTCAAAAGAATAAGCCTTCAAAATGACAGATATGATTTTTCTGCAATGTCTGGAACAGTAAATTTAACATTTTTTAAAATGACTTTACAGAGCACAGTTAAAAATCTTTGCACTATTGATAGCATAATTCTGATATAAAATTTACTGAATTAAAACTATAATAATAAATATGCTTTTGGGTTAATTTCATTTGATTTTGTAATTTCTTAAAATTTTATATTGATGAAAACACGCATAAGTAAGAACAATCTCCATAAAATTCAAATGGAATTCATTAGTTTAGTTAAAATAAAACTTAAACAGAAATATTACAGTGAAAACCAAAAATAACAAAATTAAATTTAGATAAATTTTTGTTTCAATAGCATTGCTATAATAACATTGCTACTTATCTGCCCTGCCACAATATGCTTTTCTTTACAATTTATTATAAAACATTTTTATAGCATTTCCTGCTAACAGTCAGAATAGAAAGTTCAGTCAATTCAATCTTCTTCAGAAGTTCAAAAACAAAATTAGAAAGGTGATAGAAGGAACAACAAAATTCACAGAAAAATCCTTTACCCAACCTATACACTGGATTCCAGTCACAAACTAAAATCTCTCTCCTCAAAATTTCTTTACAATTTAGTGATCAGTAGATCTAAAATTAATATTTTAACACATGTAATGTCTTGGCTCAAATTTTATTAAACAGTACCAGTGAAATGTGCTACCTAGTTTGTAATGATTTCTGAACATTACTTTAATTAATTTCTGAGCTTATAATATAATTTTGACTTTTTTGAGGGGGTGGTGGGGGATTACTTATTTCTAGAACTGCAAGATCCCCACACCCATTACAAATTCTTATATTTTGTTAATTGTATAATTGCTTTTACAGAGCATTAAATTATCTCAATGGTCCTAATAGTTATTACTAAGATGCTTTCTTTTTTTAAAAGTTTTCGTTTTTTTATTGAATCAAGTCATTTACAAGTACCTTTAGTTGTGTTTCCAGAGTTGATTAAACATTCATAAATTTTTAACTAAACAATAAATGCACATAAGTGATGAATATTATCTTTTTTTTTTGGGGGGGGGCAGAACAGCGGTACATTCCAAATAACTGCATTCATATTTTTGCATTTGAAAATGAATTCGAAAAATAAATACGAAGTTTGAATATGAAGTACGAATTACCAAAAATACAACTTACTCGCAATAAAGTTCTTTGTCGGGTTAAAAACATTATCATAGTCTCTTTTCTTAGATACATTATGGTCTTCACTGCTACCATTAATCCTGAGCTTATGAATAGCGGGCCAACCAGCCACATATGCGTGAGATTGGAAAAGACACCATCGTTTTCATCTAAAGCTAAAATAGTTATCACAGTTCCAACAGAAAACAACAATATAGATAATGTAAAGTAACAATAAGATGCACTACTGCAAATCACAATACGTTCATTCTCCTCATCCAGACTGCGTCTGTTTCTCTGTTCCATGTTTTTGCATTCATATCAGCGAAAAAATCTTAGTTATGTCAAAATTCGGAAACTCGATTGAAATAAACATGATTATACAATACTGTACCCATGATAGCAATTTTCTGAAAGTAGTTAAAGTAAAACATTCACATATGAGATACGCATTTTAAAAATATTCAAATAACGGAATCTTAAATTATACTAATTGCTCTGCATCCTATAACAACAAATTGATGCAAATTTTCACCTTTCGTACACAAATGCCAGATTCTTATCCCAAAACGTAAACATCTCTAGATCTGGATCTATCGGTTAAAATTAGCAACAGGTCAAAAGGAAACGAGCACAGTCGATGAACAACAATCCCGATTAAAAAATTTATCAAGGTATTAAAAAAAATTGATGACGAAAACTTCAGGTATATAAGAAACCCGTTTGGATAGGTATCAAACATAAATTTACTTAAAAAATTCATGAAAACATAATCCCTTTAGGATAAATAATATGACAAAATATGCGAGCGCTTTCTGCTTAGGAGAAGGGACGCCTTTGCGGAGGGAAACTAGCTTGTATTCGCATTACACACTGAGGAAAACACGAAAATGAACCATAGAACCAGTTTGCTTGCCTAGAATCAATCCCAGATCAAACTTTCAGTGTTCAGCGGTCTTAAACATTAGGCCATTGGAGGGGCCAGTAATCTATTTCGAGAAAGAATTTGTAAGAGGACATGCATCCATACAAGTGATATGCAACAAAACTGTATCAGTGCAACGAAACATACAACATAAAAATTCCTGGACTGTCAAAAACAATTTTATCCGTCTTTTTAAGCTTCTCTGGAATGGAGGAAGGCTTAAAAAATTTTCCGAGTTCGGAAAAAAACGTTCATCAGAATGTAATATACCCATAGAAAATGTTCAAACTGATATGAAACAAATATATTAATTCAATAGTAGTTTTGATATTATGTTGAATAAGGAATCTTATCCTGTCAGTTTATTATCCTAATCAATTTAGTTCTTCTCTCCCCAAAGGATACTACTAAGAACATATAGTGAATTAGAGTTTCAGAAAGCAATGGTTCCTTTTACGCTGCATTTGGGGAAGAGCATCAGTAAAACAAAATGAGTAGTGTGGATAAAATAAGACAAAAAACTTAAGTGGCCGCCATCAGTGGACGAAGAAAGTGAGTTTCTGGTGGAAGGTCCAAATCAATGAATTGAAAAGTCTAGTACGAGTAAAAATGTCAAAGATAGAGAGAATTTCAGATGGATATCTGTGCTTTTCTCTGGGAAAAGGAGAATATCTAAGAAAGTTGATGCAGTTAATAGGCTGAGTAGAACTGAGCGGAAGAAATTTCTGGCAAGTTTTTGAATATAATTTTGACCTGTGTCAACTTTGAGATAACAGTGGGTATACAAATTTGGATGATCCAAGACGCGTTGATAATCTGAGTGCTTTGTTTTGAAGAACTTGGATATGTTGAATGTGAAGTCTGGCAGCGTGGCCGCAGAAAGGACTAACATAAAGTAATGCTAGTCGAAGTGTAGATTTATATAAGATGAGTTTATCTGAAGTGGCCATATGACTTCTTCTGCCAAGAAGCGGGCGCATAGTTTCAAACGTGATATGAATTTTTTCCACAGTTTCCCTAAGATGTTTCTGAGATGTCAATTTTTTAACTAGAATGACTCCCAGATATTTAGTCCCAGTCAGTTTCTTCGTCAAACAGAGGAGGTCTTGGTAGATTGAAATGTGTTTGTCCTTTACGAAAAATTATTGTTTTTGATTTTTCATTATTAACGATTCTACTTTTATTGGATTATTTCCACTTACCGAACCTATAACATGGACCCTTATCAATAAATTAAAGTCATACTTTACCGGAGCATCCACGTAAAAGACAGCAATAACTTCTGCATTAACCCTTAGCCTGTCGAGTAATTTTCTGCGAATCCCTTTAAAACTGTCGCTAGTTTTGGACCGAACTTCCCGTAAGAAATCGCAAAAATAACCCTAAACCTCTGAAAATTGTCAAGCAGTTCTTTTGTTATTTCCCATTACTCCCAGAATTTTAGATCAATTGTTCCGCCTAAAAGAGATTGATTGTACTGTAACATTAGTAGATGCGAACTGTCAAGAACTTTGCGAATGAATAGCTTCTCTCTGACGGACCCTGGGAGTGCTCTAGGGTAATTGTCCACCAAATACTCATCAACATTTCATGAGTAAACGGTATCAGAACTAAAAGGATATTCTTTCATACAAACATCTCATTTTCGAATAATTGCTTTTTAAAATTTGCCTGTTTTCATTTTTAATTTTTATTGCATTTTATAACCAAGTTACCCAGATTTCGAAGTCACTGATTTCACTTCAGATCGATTAAATTGCATTATAATTTATTAATAAAATCTGTATTAACTGGTACATGTTTCATTCCTTCTGTGACACCTGTTACAACATTTTTAAATAGCATTTTATTAGTTCTCTTGAATGTTACATTATTTTCCGATTTTTTTAGCATAAATTAAAAATCTTTAAAACATTAATCTTTTTCTATATTTTTTATTTGCATGCAAATAATAATTATCTTTTAACAGTTCTATAATTCCTTATAGATATATTCCTTTTTATATTTTTAAGATGTTTAGCATAATATTCGAATAATTATTATAAAAAAATGGTGTTTTATGATTTCTGCAAGTTTAATCAACGGAATATGATGTGACTTTTAAAACTGCTTTTTAAAGAAACTGATAGTGAAAAATAAGGTATATTTCAAACCTTAGGCATCTCTTCTGCTCAAATTCGAATCTTTTTCCGAGGGAATGGTGTTTTCTGGAAAATTATTTTTAATTTGTTTGTTTATAGTTGAAAAATTTATAGAAAAGAATTTTTAAACAAATTTAAATATTCACTAACTTTGTGACTTTGTCACTTTGTGACTAAATGTCTAAAATTCAGCGTAAAGGAAAGCATTTTTAAAATTATACGTGGATTGCTGATTTGAAAGAGGATAGGTATTAAATATGACTTATTTAACGAAAACAAAGATTTGGATTATTTAAGGACAGTTGTTTGAATCTCAATGCAAACTATATCAGCTCCAAAATAATACACTCTTCTTTTTAAGTATTGCATTTTTAATGGTATTCTTGCAGAACTTAGAAATTCATGCAGCTTAGAAATTTATTATTAATTGACTGAGTTTATAAATTCTTACTTTTCTGCCACTGAAACACTAAACTTGATGTGAAATAGTATTAAAACATTACTTTTATAACTTATAAGGTATTTTCTCACTCCTTTCTTCAGGCCTTCGTGGTGTAATCGTTAACACATTGGGCGTGTATTCGAGATCTCGGTCCAGGTTCGAGTTCTGGCTAGGGCATTGCACATTTTTCATGTTTCTTATTTCAAAAATAACCTAATGACTCTTCAGTGGCACTCGAACTAAAAAAGGTGATGCATGATGATTCTTCACCATCCTGATATGGCGATTGGGTACCCTAATCCCCAGTCGCTCTTTAAAAGGGAGAGTACATAAGGTATTTTTCCCCTCCTTTCTTTATACCTTCGTGCTGTAATGGTTCGCACACTCGGCGCGTATTTGAGAGGCCCAGGTTCAAGTCCTGGCTAGGGCATTGCACATTTTTCGTTTCTTACTTCAAAAATAACCGAATGACTCTACAAACTGAAAGCTGCAAAGGAATTATGTAACATAATTAATATCACTATGCAATGTTTTATTACACTTTATCTAAGTTATTATGCATGAACTAAACAATGTTGTTGTTTTTATAACTCACATAAGTAATATAATCGTTCAATATGGTATTTTTGTATAGAAAAGTAAAGTATTATTGTAAAGAAAGTGTATTGTCGAATGTTTTGTAATAAATAAAGATTGCATTTAATAATTATGATAATGTGTTTAATAAAGGATATGAGTAATTAAATATATATTATGGGATTCATTATCAGGGAGATATTTTTTTCTAGTGATAATTTTCCCAGTATTCATTTTTTGCAACATTAAGCTCTAAATAAATGTCTTGTTTGAATATAGCATTAAGTATTTACACCAAACTCCTAATCAAAGAAAATGCCATACAAGGAAGGATCATTAACTTTTATTTAGAACAAGTATTTTTATTATTTTAATGCTGTTATTAATTAATACTCGTATATAAAAAAATAAATTAAGTTTACTATAGTGGATTGAATAAGTCTGCTGAACGTTGGTAGTTTGTGAAGAGTTTGGGTCCTGGCAACCAAACTGGTTAACTGCTTGAGGCTTTATGATTTTTCTCATACGTAACCTGAATTTAAATCATTTTTATTTAGTTCAATTTCTATTCTTCCTTTCACGACTGAAGCGCGGAAATATCAATTTTTTTTTTCTATTTGTCTATTGCAATTTATATTTCTGATTTCTGTTTTTCAGTACTTTTTCATTGTGAATTGAAACAGTAAAACCTTTAAAATCTTTCTTATTCTCCATTTATGTATTAGCAACAATTATTTTTACAATTATTTTTAAAAATACCTCTACAGTTTTCTTATTTTAATAAATATTATTACAAAATGCATAGCCTATGATTTGATGAATAATTACTTTATTAGTTACACTAAATTTTATCAACTTAATTTGATGTGAGATTTAAAGAAGTTAAATTTAAACAATATTCAGAATTATAAATTAAGGAGATTAAAGTATTTTCATGTATTTTTTATACTGACAATTACGTCTTCTTTCAAAAAGAGGACTTTCTGTAGGAAACAAGAACAAATTAACCTTACATACGGGAAAAACAAACACGCTGGCATGCCATTCGCCTGGGTTTCAACCGAAAGTAAATCGAACTACCAGTATTCAACAATTCAACAGTCTTTAACTTCTCGTCTACTGATGAGGCTTCGATCATGAGAAAAGTGCAATATTTTTTAACATCCTCACAAAATCTCAAACAGTGAGCGTAGAGGGATTCTGACTCTCTTGCTTTCATGTTTCATTTGAAAAGTAAAAAAGCTGCAGCACTAGATGCTAGCAGACTAATACGAGTTTTATGTGAAAATCACTGAGTTAGTATGTAAATTGATTTTAAGCTTCAGAATAATAAGTACACTTGCAAAAACATTCATTGCATTATCGTATTTTCATAAGAGATAATTTTATCACGTTTCTTATAGTAATATTGTATTTTATTATTCTTGGGAAAAATGCCAGAAGAAATACATTGTTGTTTATATTTTTTTTAAAGCTTTGAGAGAAATTATATAATTTCAAGTCATATTTGTAACGAAAGT